GCTTTCAGCGGAAACTGGAAAAGTGGTCGGTGAAGCGGACAAAAAATTTCTGGGTAATATTTTTGGATACTCAACCTGATGAAAACTTAATATATGCCGGCGAGACAAAAGCGCCATCAGCCTAGTTTATAGCGACTTTAAAAATAAGGGGTCATTAACACCTTTGTCACTGAATGCTTGTTAGCTGCAATTTGGTACCACATCTCCTCTCCCTCCTTTCCTTGCTTGGCTAATTGCATTTGCTCTTGTCTACAGAAAGTGAAGAGAGACTTGAAATTAATTTTTAAAAACACCATTCTGAGTCTTTTTTTTTGAAATAGCACCAACGATACAAAAACGGATTCGTACTATATAATAAATTATCAGAAGGCAGAGTAGTGAATTTAACTGGCAAAGCAGTGCAGCGCATATTTCGATAGTTTGACTAGCTACAGCTTATTATTTGGTTCCTCTGCAGTGCATCTGGCAATTTTCCAACTGCTTCGACTGATGCTGAACGGCCCCTGATAGTTAGCTTTCTGGTGATCCTGACGTTTGCTTTGTCTCCTGAACGGATTACCAACTCAGCGATCCTCTCAGCAGAAACACTTGTCAAAGTTTTAGATTTTTCGAGATGTAGCTGAGTGTGTGTGTATGGGTGTGTGTGCGTGTGTGCTGAACATCACCATCTAGTCTCGAAAGCGTGTGACACACCCAAGCTACGTTGCGATATCAATCCGAAATATGTAGTAATTTTAGCAGAAAATTTCCCAGAAAACTTGCTAATAAAACAATGGTTATCATTCCCGCTAAGAATGTTAGGGCAATTTTGGCCTGAAAATGAAATTTAGGAATTTGCCGGAAAGCATGGAGCAGTAGCACTGTTGTTGTGCAGTTTGGTCGAGGGTTCAAACCAGTGAGAGAAACAATACCTCTCTGACTCGTTCGTACGTTTCAATGATAAAATGGTACTAGCATACGCCAGGTAGTCAAACCTGCTATCAGTTTGTTTGTAAGCAAACCCTGAGAAGAAAGCCATCAACATCCTTGCCAACGCAAAATTGTTGTAGGCATTTGCTACCACGTGAGCTACTTCGCGAATATTTCTGCTTTTTGGGTTTAATTTGAATCAGAGTTAGCAATGTTGTAATATAACCAAAAATTGGGGGGCAGCCATGCCAAAAGATTTTATAAAAAGCATATATTTTGTCCTTTTGCAAATGAAATTACCGCATATCTAAAAAAGAACTTACTGCATATCTTTTGGCTTGTACTGTTGCTGCCCACGGCCACAACGGTATTTGCAGCTGTTGTTGATCCGGAAGCAGTTTGTATAGCGGAGCAACCTCCAATCCACAAAATGATTCTGAATTCGGAACGTTCCGCATCTACAAGAAAGCAGTAAGCAAACTTTTTCTTTTCTCATACATCTCCATTTCTAGTTCCAAAATACCTCAGTAACGAGGGAGTCTAAATCGAAAGTTAACTAAAAAAAATTTCCCGAAAAAAAAAACAAAAATTTTGTTTGTTAAAACATTGCGAAACGAACTTTTTTTTTCATCGTTGGTAATTGTTGTTCCGCAACGCTAATAATCCGGGGTATTCGTTCTGGAATGTATTTCATCAAAGCCGCAGGACTTCATACTAGATAACGGGTCTGATAAGAATCATTCCTACAAAAATAGGGTTGGATAGTAAGGGTTCCCAGTAAGCTGAAGATTAGCCCCTACCCAGTTTTCAGGAGATTCATGAATTTGGTGGAAAGTTTCGGCTCATCTGACGAAAATCTTGATACCTACAAGCAATGCGGAACGTGCCCATGGCTTATGCTAGCAGCATTATGCGCATGAGCATGGATTTCCATAGTGCAACCGTAACTGATTGTGATTTCGAAAGATTCAGAGATAGTGAGGGATGATGCTCGATCCTTGATTACTTCCCGGAGATTCACTTCCCCGTCCGGTTTATATCCCTGTGGAGATTCGATTTCCTTCCGCTTCATATTTTTTACAAAAGAAATTTCGTTTGCAACAACACTTTCACTACGTGAAACAAGTATGCACTACAGTGTATAATTGCAGCAAGACCTCTGTGAGGACAGATGTGCAGCCAGACGAGAAGGCGCGAAAAGATCAAGCGACAAATTATTGGCTTTTTTTGTTGCTTCTTTTCTTAGCGGTTGCTTTCATCATGAAAACGCTCCTGGAAAATCGTGATCATGATAATGAGTGATACGAGCAGCGGCACTACACTGCAGTGCATACTGACATGATGCTTGCTGCTTCAGCAAAATGATACTATCATGAAGCCCATCTAATAAAACTATTGGTGAATCGAGAAACACGCGATGAAGCAAAACCGAGGGAAGAGATTTACTTTAGTAGCAATAAATGCCTCACACCTCATCATGGAGCATAATTCTTGTTTAACCTTAACTTATTACGGCGAATGGATTAAATTGGAACAAAGGCTCGAAACTGCGGTAAATTGGGCCGACACTGTGCGTAAGGAAAAGATGTTAACCTGCTTCTTGTGCGTTTGACACACTCAAAAAACCAAATTCCGGTGATAATTTCAAAAATAAATCGAAGATTCGAGTCGTTAA